TGCGAACAAATATTATTTAATACACTTATTAAATCATCTGGTTGGAAAGTGGAGTTTGGAGTTCATCGAACCGCCAGCAATTGACAAATTTTTTAAATGCGGCAAAAATATTTGCCCAAGCATAATGTTTGCATTTTGTTAATTAGGCGGGGATTGTCCTGCAAATTAGGTCATATTTGTTGAGTATCAAAGAAGTTGAAAGAAGAAACAGCTGAATTTGCTTAGTTCAAAATAATTAAGATACATTTGTCTCAATTCTTTTTCTAAAAAATTATTACCTATTTCTGGAAACTATCGTGAAACTTAATCTTAATCATTCTTAAGTTTTCTGGACATACACCCCCATCCCCTTTCGTATAGATGACCCCAAAAGGCGTTCGGGAACATCGTTCCAGATCTCAGATCCTCTTAGGCCTGTCATACTCACATTGATGGCTCAGCCAGCCCCCATATCAATTAATCTTATTTGTCACTCAAATATCAAAACATGAGCAAACACAATACGCGCGTTGGGAATCTATGGGGAACAATCGAACAGAATAGAACAGCACAGAACAGCACAGCCCGCCTCTGTTTTGTTATCAAACAAAGCTGATCAGTCAGGTGGCAGTGGCAGCAACTACACTCATAGAAATTTTTACCTAAATACTAGAAAAGTCGCCCTAAAACCGAGGTCGCCCTAAAACTAAGGAAAATTTTCTTATTATACGGGTGGCTAGCCCTAAATATACGAAAAATCGCCATGGAAAATATTTTTTAGGGTTAGTTTTTTCAAAAAGGCAAATTTTCCGTGTTTTTTAGGGCGAATTTTTATGAGTCGCCTCCAAAAGTAATTCCTTCTTTTTAGGGCGAAATCGCCCTAAAACGTAGAACAAAATAGCAAAAAAAATGTTCTGAAATTGCCCTAAAAACAAGGAAGAGTCAAACGAAATTTTAAGACGCAATTAATGGATACATATGTAATACATGTGTGTATGTGTGTGTGGTTGACAGGTCAAAACAAGTGAATGTGTGTGTATATTAGGGCGGACCTTTTTCTATGAATTTTGATGCTGAGCGCATTTGACTTTAGAGAAGTCCACCCTTTTTCTTCTTCTTTGCTACTTTTCGTCCGCTGCAGTGGCAAGGGTGGGGGTAGAAAGAGTTGCATTGTCTAGACTTTGTCATAATTTTTCGGGCGCTTGGCAGTGAAAGACGTGTTTGTATGAAACCTTTTGTTTGTGAAAAAGTGAAAAATGTAAACGCTATTAAGGGACTTGGGAGGCGATTCTTTTTCTGATTTCTGGTGAGTACATACATATATAATTGTGCAATTTGGATATTAATAACTAATTGAATTTACATATCTGTAACAAAGGAAAATGCAGCGGAAACTTTAAAAAATTTGAGTGGAAGCAGCTACGAGGAGAAATTCCTGTTCAACTAGTCGGTCCAGAAGCGGAAGTTTTGGAAGTGTGGCAGAACAAAGTAAGATCATTAATAAGAGTATACATATATGTATGTGTATATGTAAATAATGCTTGAGTTAAAAAGATGATGCAACAGAATACACACATACATATGTATATATTTACAAGAAATCTGTATTTATGCACCGGACAAACCGCATTCATAAGTGCATATGCCAAAACAGCCCCCAAATTTCTATTGCGACATTTCGTCAGTGCTCGAAATTTGCTTTTTCTGCTTCTTTTTTTTTCTAGGAGTAGCAGCAAACGCAACCGCAGGCTAAATGAAAATTGTGTGTGTTGGTTGTGCATTTTTATATTAATTTCTAACATTTTTTTCTTTTTTTTTTTAAGATCGAGAACGCTTTTCAGATCCAGCTTTCGCAAACCACTTTTCGGACTTAATAAAAGCAGGAGTAAGGAAGCAACAGGAAATAAACCTGCTCAAATTTTTGGAAAGCTCTGAAGGTAAGTGCTTCTCTTTTTTTCTATTATCATATAATAATTAGACTGTTTTCATTTAATAGAGATACAATCAACTTTAAATTGGCTTGCGATCCATTCAGTGTTGGTGCCGACAGCAAGAAGAAAAAAGGACGCCGGGAGCAAGAACGCGAAGCACACCATTGCAGACTCGGGAAGCCGTTTCTTTTAAAGTTATTTATTATTTATAATTTTTAAACCCGATATAATCCATTTAGCAATAAGAATAGGAGAGTATGTAAATTTGTAAACCTATAAATTGTGTAAATATATTTGTAGTTAATGTAAATAACAACAAACAAAAATATAAACCAAAAAAAAAATATATTAAAATTGTATTTGTATTTATGAAAAATGGCCGTGAAATTTTGGGGAGCATTTTGCATGTTTTAGGGCAATTCACCTATAAATCCAGAGAAAATGCCCTAGATTTATGAAAATCTGCCTTTAGTTTTAGGATATTTTTCCTTATTTCTAGGGCAATTCGCCTTAAAATCCAGAAAAACACCCTAGATTTATAAAAAATTGCCTTTAGTTTAAAGGTATTTTTTCCGATTTCCAGGGCAATTCGCCTATAAGTCCAAAAAAATCGCCCTGGATTTAAAGGAAACTGCCTTTAGTTTAAGGGTCTCATTTCTTATTTTTAGGGCAATTACCTTTGAAAATAGAAAAATCGCCCTAGATCTACGAAAAATCGTCCTAAATGTATGACAAATTCACCCGTATTTTTAGGGCAATTTGCCCTTATTTTGTTGCCTAGTCGCCATTGACCCCCGTTTTAGGGCGATTTTCCTTGTTTTTAGGGCGATTTTACCGGAAAATTTCTATGAGTGTACCTGAGATACCTGAGCTACCTGAGAAATCAGAGTGTCGCGTGGGTGGTGGTAGAATTGTTTACCAGGCGCCCCCACTGCAGCAGCAGCAACAGCAGCAGCAGCAGCAATACCAAGCAGCAACATCTATTGTTAGACGCTGGCGTCGCTGTCGACGCTTGGAGTGAATGTCCTCAGTTGGCACACAAAAACAAAAACACAAAATACAAAACGACAGCAGCAACATCAGCGGGAGCAGCAGCAATAGCAGCAGCAACAGCGAGAGAGCCGCCCGAAGCAACACGAGGCACAAAAAGCCACTTCGGCTGGCTGCTTTGAGTTGCTCTGGGTCGTTTTGTGCTGCTGGTGGACGCTGCTTTCATTCGCAAATTGCTCGTCGTTGGCAGCGGTTGTGCAGAGCAAGAAAAGCGCGCGAAAAAATAAATAAATATCATAATACAGCTGGATCAAGCGAAAGAGATAGAGAGCAGAGCCAACAAATGTTCAATAGGAATAGCAAATAATATCACATAATATTTTTGTTGGTGCCAGTGAAGTGAGATCAAAGTGAAGTGTGCAATGTTCCTTATTAGCAAATCGTAGAGCAACCAACAATCGAGAGTTCAAGTGTCATTCTGAAGCCAAAAAGCAAACAAAATCTCTAATTCAAATATGGTTTGTGCGATGCAAGAGCAGCAGCAGCAACTCCAGTTGCCCCAGCAGCAGCAGCAACAGTCACAGCAGCAACACGGCACAACGATAGTGCTGCTGACGGGAAATGGAGGCGGTAATCTGCATATTGTCGCGGCACCGCAGCAACATCAGCCCCTGCAGCAGCAGCAGCAGCAGCAACATCAGCAGCATCCCCACCAGCAGCAGGCAAAGAGCCAACAGCTGAAGCAGCAACACTCGGCATTGGTAAAGCTGCTGGAATCGGCGCCCATTAACAAGCAACAGCAGTCGCCCAAACAAATTGTTTATCTGCAGCAGCAGCAACATCAGCAGCATCAGCAACCGCAACGCAAAAGACTGAAAAACGAAGCAGTAATCGTACAACAGCAACAACAAACACCTGCAACACTAGTAAAGACAACCACCAACAGCAACAACACCCAGACAACAAATAGTATTAGTCAGCAGCAGCAGATTGTAGCAACACCAAAGCCGCCATGTGCCGATCTGAGCGCCAAAAATGACAGCGAATCGGGAATTGAGTCCAACAGCGATGAGGATTGCCCGAGTGCCAACCCCGCGGAGAAATCGCTCGAGGAGAGTAGCTACGAGCAGTATCAGTGTCCCTGGAAGAAGATTCGCTATGCGCGGGAGCTCAAGCAGCGGGAACTGGAGCAGCAGCAGACCACCAGCCACCAGGAGACGAAGCCAGCTGCCATACCCACCAGCAACATCAAGCAGCTGCACTGTGATAGTCCCTTTTCGGCGCAGACCCACAAGGAAATCGCCAATCTCCTGCGCCAACAATCCCAACAGCAGCAGCAGCACCAGGTGCAACACCACCAGCAGCAGCAACAACAACAGCAGCAGCAACAACAGCAGCAACAGCGAAGGGATAGCTCCGACAGCAACTGCTCGCTAATGAGCAACTCGAGCAACTCCAGTGCGGGAAATTGTTGCACCTGCGGCGGCGGGGATGATCAGCAGCTGGAGGAGATGGACGAGGCCCAGGATTCGGGCTGCGACGATGAGCTGTGCGAGCAGCATCACCAGCGACTGGACTCCTCGCAGCTGAACTACCTGTGCCAGAAGTTCGATGAAAATTTGGACACGGCTCTGAGTAACGGGAATGCGGGGAGAAGCACGCCGGCGATGTCAGCGAACGAAGATGCCGATGTAGGTTTATTATTAGGGGGGATTTGTATTTGATAAATATAATTTGTAGGAATTTGTTTAGGTCCGCTTTGAACCATTATCAGTTACTAGGATTGGTAAAAAAAATTGATAGCATGGTTTTAACAATCGATACTACGCTCAAAAAAAAAAAATGAATTTTACATGAATTTTTTGAATTTAATTTCACTTTTATCACTGTAAAAGTTAGATCGTTTTTTTCCCAATTATTTTTTAGAGTCAACCACACATTTTCCATAATTATTTTTTCATATTTTTCCATTATTTTTACAATTTGTGCTTTATTTTCTTTAATTTTCGATACTATCGATAGTATCGATAGTGTCTACTAACTATTTTTTAACAACCTTATCACTTACTAACCGATGTTTCTATTGCCTTATCATTACAGGGCTTCTTCCGTCGCTCCATCCAGCAAAAGATCCAGTATCGCCCCTGCACCAAAAATCAACAGTGCAGCATTCTGCGCATCAATCGCAATCGCTGTCAATATTGCCGCCTGAAAAAGTGCATCGCCGTGGGCATGAGTCGCGATGGTGAGTACACAAAAATATGCCTTATAGTTATGAAAATATCAAATAAGGGAGGGAAAATGAGCTACTCGAAACGGGCCAAATTAATTCAAGCTCAACACCAAGCTCAACAACAGCAACATTCGGACGCACGACGATTTAGCCGAGTGCCACACGAAGTTCGCTCGGCTTTTCTGAGTTCATTGACCAGCCGTGAACGAAATTTTAGCTCTGCGAGTGTGTGTGAGTCTGTATTGCAACATTTCGCTTGGCGCGATTTCACGGCAAAGTAAAAGTTGTCTATTTTGTTTAAACAAATTCCCCGAACAACACGAAAAAAAGAGCACACACACCCGCATGATAAATTGAGAGCAGGCTGTCGGCGGCGAGAAGTGTGCGCCATTTCGAAATGGTGTTAAAAGTTGAATGAACGCACTTAACCCAAATCCATAATGGAGACAGCAGAGCGAGGCCATCATTCGCCCTATCTCTCTCTCTCTGAGCTCTCCCTCTCTCTCTCCCTCTCTTTCTCTTCGTTACGTTACGCTGACTGCATTTGTTATTATTGAGTTTTGTAATAATTTGTTTAAATTAAGCTCACAGCCCGGAAAATATTTACAGGAAATAGCCAGCGATTATGAAAGCACAACACACACACATACAACATGCAACACTCAAACTCTCTCGCACTCTCTTTTCCACGTTCATTGACTTCTCGCTGGGCGGCCATGTTTGCTGTTTGCAGTGAAAACGAAAACGAAAGTGGTTCATGCGTGTGTGTGTGTGTGAGTGAGGGAGAGACGTGGGGAAGAGGGACGGGTATACTGGGGAGAGAGGCGGGGAGACGCTGTTTTGTAGGCAACACGCAGACGCGGCCTTTGTGTAAAATATGTAGTATTTGTTGCTGCCTTCGATGTTGTAATTGATGGATTAGATTTTGATATTTTTTCGAATGTGGAGCGCGCGTGTGTGGCAAGGGGAAAGTAAAAAAAGAGCAGTGAAAAATATGTAGTAGGGTTAAAGTAAAAAGTATTATGTTTGGGAAATGTAACATTTTTAATAATCAGTTTTAAATAAATTTCAAAAGTCTATAAATTAAAAAAATAACCTTCTTTAGAAAAAAATCGCTTTTTCCCTTTTTTCGTTTTTCCCCCAAAAACACCCCCTCATTATTATAGTATGACAACTAATTTTATGCCTTTGTTTACCACCACCAAACACTAATGAGGCCCCTCTGCTGTCACCATTAAAATCCTACCATCAATTAGCCACTAACCTAGAGCCGAGCACAATAAAATAATTTTTTAGCAAATCCTTGAACTAGTTCTGTGCCTAGAGCAACCCAAAGCTAGTGCCAAAAATAAGTCATGTGAACCGAACAAAAATTCGACCGCCAACCAAATAAACGGCAAACTCGAACTCGGCAACAGCAATGAAATAAAATCGAAAAATAAAGAAGCAAAAAAAAAAAACAAAGAGAAAAAAGCAAACCAACAAATTTCGAATTGTTTATAATAAAAATGACCGTGTGCTATTTAAGCGACGGCGACTGCGCTGCCGGTTGCCTTATCTTTCAAGGAAAATTAAAATAAAACGCACACGCCGAAAAAAAGCAAAAAAAAAAACAAAAAACATCGAGGGCCGCTGATGAACAATTTACAGTTATAAAACAAGAGCGACTGACCTAGAAAACGCCACGAAATCATAATTTATTTTTTGTTTACAAAAAGTATCGCAGCGAAGAGACAACTACTTTCACTTTTTCGAAAAAAACCAACCGAAAAATATATATACCCATATAATTGGCGGCCATTTCGAAACACTTTCTTTTTCATTTCGTTTCGTTACATTTCGGCTGCTTTCATAATTTCTTTGGCCAGTAATAGGCGCCATTTTGTTGGTGTTTTGTCTTCTGGCTTTTCCTTTTGCTATTGCAAAGACACGAAAATAACGCAAGAAATGAAAACGAAACCGAAATTTAGCGCACACAAGCGCCCCCCTCGAAAAAGTCAAATAAAATACGTCCCAACTCGGCTCAGTTCATTGACCGCCGCTGACGTGCAGGAAAACTGGGTCACCATCGGCGGCGCAGCGGCAGCGCGGCGGCAGAGCGCCAGTGAAGGTGGTTGCGCCTGTGTGCGTGCCTCGTATCTGTGTGAGCGCTAGTAGCGATAGTAAACAACGAACAATGTGCACAACACTCTCGTCATTTTGCATTTGATTTTGCGGATTTGCTTGGAAATTTATTAGTTCACCGTGGGCTGGCCAAAAAAAAAAATCCAAAAAATCCACCGAAATTTAAAACAATAAATCGTTGGATTTTTTCTTCTCGCCATATTCTAATTTTCTATATATTGCTCTCTTCTAGCTGGCACATGCACATGCACACATGCTGGCTTTTAATTGAAATGAACTTAAATTAGCGCGAGGTTAGGCAAATTGAAAGTAAATATGCAACACGAACGAGAATCGAGATAAAGCCCGCGAAAAAGGAGGGGAAGGGAGGAGATCACTGAATAATATTTGAAGATTAATTATAAAGAGGAATTTTAGAAAAAGAAAATAGATAAATATTCTCTAGATTTCTTTACAACATTTATTTTATCTTAGGCCTCCAAAATTCTTTTATATCTCCCCATCAAAATCATGGCTTAGCAAATAGATAACCGCACCTACAAGCAACATGCACAGCAGCAATTAGTTGCTGGTGTGTCCCAGAAGCACATAAAATAATCAAACAATTGTCAATTATCGAAGGCACAGCATTTTTTCTATATATATATGCGCACATAAATATATATAAACGAGCAACTACGACATGCTCGTTGTTGCTGTTGTTGTCGCAATCATTATTATTTTGAGGCTACACACACACAGCAGCAACAGCAGCAGCAACAACATCATGCATGTAGATTTCGCCTTGCCTCGCCGCTGCGAGTGTTTTGAACTTTATTCAGGTCAATTACAAATACATTAAAATGCCAGTGCTACACACAGATACTCATGGCAAGCTGTTGACTAAAATAATATTGGAGGCTACACAAAATTTACAATAACAACGAGAACAAGGCGGACAAGGAGACCAGAGACTATAGACTAGAGACCAGAGACCAGGGGTAATGGGTTGGGGGTTTGGGGGCTGACTGGGGGCTTTCGGGGTTGGGCCTCTCGGTAGGAGTAGCTGAACACTTGGAACAGTTCAAGGAGCCTTCGACTCGGCTCATGAGAGTGGGCGCGTGAGTGGGCGGCGCTAGAACAGCTCGCAGCTTCAAGTACAAAATGCTAATGATGACGATGTGGGTGAGGTTCTACAGTCAGTAGTCGGGTGAAGGTTTTTGTGAGGCAATCGAAAAGATTGAACTGGTTTTAGAAATAACTAAATATAGTATTTCTAGTATTTTCTGGTATTTCTAGTATTTTATTAAAACTCCGTTTTCAAGCCCAGTTACTCCACTCCTTTGACGCTTATACAATTACTTGCTGTCCATAAGTGAAATCATTTCACGCGTGTCATCCATCAGCAAATGAAAAGGAGGAAAAAATCAGCGAAAAGAGAGTAGCGAAAAAAACACTGAACACTTCAACAACGGCAGCTGCTTGACAACTTGAGTTTTCGGTCGCCTGCTGAAGCTTCATTTATTTTTTTTTTATTTTTATTTATTTTTTTCTTTTCTTCGCTTTGGTTACATAAAGTTAGGCAGCACAACTGCCTTCACCTGCCTCACAAAAGGCAGCCACAAAAAATGGTTAACGGTGAAATTGCAAAGAAAAGAGCGCCAAAAGGCAGCGCAAGAAGAAAGACGAAAAGAGCCAAAAGCAAAAAGCCAGCGAACGTAACAAACTTGTTTTACACGAGACGCTGGCGTCGCCTACTACGCAAGTTGAACCTTCAAAAGGTTCATTTACCTCTCGCCACGAAGAGCGCTCGTCGTTCGTCTGGCAGCTCGAACGAGCCGAGTTTTATATATATTTTTTTTGCTTTTTTCCCCCGGGGAGGAGAAGCGGGCGAAATAAAAAATGTACTTTCGCTTTTTTCAATGCCTCGGCGCCAAAAACTAGTTTTCCAGCTCTCAAATTTGCTCTCCGAGAGAGCAACATTGCAGCAATATTGCCGTTGCTGTGGGCCGATGTTGCAGTTGCTGCTGCTGCTGCTGTTGCAGTTGCTGCTTTTGGGCCACAGTTAAACGACCGAGCCGCAGAGTTCAACGACTCTTGTAAAATTTCTCGAAGGTTTCGCATTGCAACATCCAACAACGAGCAGTCGCAACTTGTTCGAAGCTGCATTTGCATGCCGTCTCTGTCTCTCTCTCTCTCTCTCTCTTATTCTCTCTCCCTATATATACCCCTCTCTTTCGTGTGCTGAATGCTGTTCATTGCACTCGGCCTCGTTTCGTTCGGCTGCAATTTTTGCACGACGTCAGAGGCTGAGCAAAATGCGAATGTTGCGAGGGGGCAGCAAGGGGTTAAAGCGAGGGGCCTGCAGTTTGTCGCCGAGTGCAGCGACTCTTATTTGGGTCAGGCACGGTCATTCGCCTCTGCTGCAGCGACGACGGCGACGGCATTGGCGCGCATTTATTCGAAAATGATTAGACACGAAATGGAATTATTTTTGCGTATGCCTTTGAAGTCCGTTCGCTTGCAATGCGCGTAGATGCAGATCAGCTTGACCCAATTTTTTGTTTTCAGGGGGAGAATAATTTCTGAACTTGTAAACAAGTCGGGGTATTTATTGGGAATTTTTTTGGAAAGGAAGGGGGATTGTAAAGGTCAGTGATGAAAAAGGTTGGGAAATTCATTAGAAAAGTTTGGAATAGCTAAGATATTTTTCTAAATAATTGGATGATTAATTAATTAATTACTCATGCCTTAGCCTTAACTGCAGCTGCTTTCGCTCGCCTTTTGTTTGATTTTCGCCCTTTGTTCTCCACACCTCGTCGATGAGAAATGAAATGAATCGAGGCACGACCTTTTCATGTTAAATTAATAATATGGCACAGGGTCTACTCTACCCTGAGCGATCCGAGCGATGTCAAGTGCTGCTATGCGCTAAATGCGCGGCGGCGACCTCCCCGGCGTTTTTCATTGAGGCATTTTTCATGACCCACAAAAGCCAGAGACGAAGGCTCCAAACCGAAAATAAAACACAAAATACTTGCTTATGCGGGGGCTTTCTTTTGTCTTGAGAAATTTCAAGAAACTTCACAACATACGCCTGATGGCTTCATTATTATTATTATTATTATTATTTGGGGTTTGGGGTTCACTTCGGCCCCTTTCTTCGGCATATCATTTCTTTTGTGTGCCCCCCTTTGTTTGTCCGTGTGGCTCTTTCCACACGCTTCGATCGCGTTGTAAACAACTTACGCAAGCAAACCGACAACCAAAAAAAAAACCAAAGACCAAAGCAACAACAATTGTGTCGCTTATGTGACTTTACGTAAAGCCATCATCCAGAGGTGTCTGTGAATCACCTATAGCCATAGTCCAAAACCGAAAGTAGGCCTCTTCCTCCGCTCTGTGGGTGCAATGAACTCGTCGACTGCCTCGTCGCGTAAACAACAAGTTTGGATTTCGGCTTTCGTTTATTACTTCCCCGTAATTCAGGAAGTCAGCCGCTCAAATGCCCAAACAATAACAAGTAATCATGAGCAATTCGAGTTTAGAAAGCCACTTGATACAAGGCACTTGGGATGGCACGGCGCAAAATGAGGCTAGCCTCGCGTCTTGTCGCAGTGAAAGTGAAACTTGTTAATTGGCTTTTAATTGCTGGCATTATTGTGAATGCCAATTATGACCAAAGCGATGCTATTGAACTGGTTTCCTCTCGGCCAGCAGAATAAGCTTATATAAGATTTGCAAATGAGAGAGATGAGACCTTAATAAAAAAGTTTTTCGAATAGTAAAATTCTTATTTTAAAAATTAAATAAATTATTTCGACACAACCAAGTGGAAATAATGGTTGTAATTATACAAAAAAGCCCATTAAATTACCGGCCTGTTATCACATCGCAATCGTTTCGTTTTTGGGCCACCTTCGCCCCAGTTGAATCCAGTTGTCTCTCCGTCTTTCCGCCTTTTGGTGTCTGCTGTCTTTAGCCCCAATCTTCGGGGCGTTATGCAACCTTTATAGGCCTACTCAACACTGTTGACCAATCCAGTTGCCTGCATTTCCACGGCACGCACGAATATTTCTACCCGAAAAAGAGCCAAACAACTTTCACTTTTACTTTCGTCGCATCGCCGGAATGATTATTAAATGTTGCTCGTTGTTCGTTACGTTTTTGTGGCCTCATTCGGGCCGCTAAGTTCATTGACCACCGCACTCTGGTGGGGTAAACCGAAGCGACTCGACGACAAAGCCAGAGTTTGAATAAACAAACAATCTGGAACACTCACGTCAGTTGGCGATGATCGCCGGATCGAGTGAGTCACCTATGAAAGCTGAACATAAAAAGATCTGCATTTGCTTAAATGCAAACTCAATGCTTAACCCTCGACTGACGGGCAGACGGGGCCAGTGGCGTCGTAAATTATCCACTCAGGCGTGAAGTCATCAAGTTTGATTTAGCAATCTCATTACTGGCCTCAGCCTCCAGTCTAGATTTTCCACCTGCCAACGTGACGTATGCGCAATGTTCCACACACATCACTCATACGCACCGTGAAAAATGCCCCCGTGCAAAATATTCACAAGTACGGCAAAAGCTTTCCGAAAGCTTGCCCAACTCAACACCATTTTCTCTTGCGTGGTGAAAAGCTCTGCGAAGCTTAAGAGTTCTTAAGAGAGTCTTGTGCTCTTGTGTCCTCTCTTCCGAGTTTGTTGAACTTTCCTTCGATGGATGAAGATGGTGTGCAAGAAAAGAGAGATATAAGCGCCGATAAAGCGCCCTTAAAAAGAAGAGCTTATCAGGGAAAGCTTATCAGTGCTTGAACTTGCTTTGTGTGTGGGGTGGGTCATTGTTTCAATATATCAAAGAACAATTACAGAAAGCAAATGTGTACATTGTACATAAGAAATATTTATAGAATAAATATTATTTATTTTAATTAAATATTGAAAAAATAGTGTTAGAATGTCAACACAAAAAGATATGCACTAGAAATTAAAATTTATATGGATTTAAAGAAATACGAAATTTTATATTTTCATAAACATTATTTACAAAATATTTAAAAATACGAGTTAGAAGAGCTACACATCTTATCACAGACTCAGCTCTCTTGCAATGGTTTGTTGCCCCCGCTCAAAAACAAAGGTTGCCCCATTGACAAAGAGCTTTTCCCGCTCTTTAGCTCCCTCTTTGGCTCTCTTTCGAGCGCTCCGTTGGTCGTTGCCTCTGCGGCTTTTTGTGTTTTGTGCGGCGTTTTCGGTTTTCTGCTTCTGTTTTGAGACCGAAGCTCAGTCGCCATCGCAGTCGCCGCAGTTGAGGTTCGCTCTCCTCGATTGGCCCCATACTATACCATACGATAGCATACCGTACTCTGGGTATATTCGTAACGCGCTTTGGCTTTTACAGTTAGTCGCGTTCGAGACCTTGTCGAGTTTTGTCATATTAGCCAGCGATCCGCGGGATCCGAAATAAGCCAAGAGCAACGCGAGTGCGGCATTTGCCACAGATAACTAAACCAATATTTAATATCAGTTAAATTAAATTAAATTAAATTATTTAAAACAAAATGCTGATTAATACCAATGAATGTTAAATTGTTAATGTGAAGAAAAGTCGACCAAGTCTCCAAGAAACAAAACACTTAAGCAACACCCACTACTACTCACTCGTCTGTCTGGATTACGCGCCTAAAATATTAAAATACCAACCAAACCAACCACTAATTTATTTGCTAAATATTCCAAAAATTCAATCAATGTGAAAAGCAAGCAAACAAAGTTCCTCTCACAACAAAACAGCAGTTAATTAAAATATTTAACCGAGATTAAGTGCAAATAAGATAACAAGTTTCTCAAACAAATATATATCCACATGTACCTGAGTACCAACCAAAAAGCTGTGTGTGTGCCAAAAACCAAGAAGAATTATCAAAGAAAAAATATTTAATGAGCGAGCTCAACTGAGTGGTTGATGTGCCCCCAAAGGGAAAAGTGACCAAGTCAAGCATTTCGTCAAAATAAACCCCGCAATCAAGCACAGAAAACATAAAAATGGGCGAAGAACTGCCGATATTGAAGGGCATACTTAAGGGCAACGTCAACTATCACAATGCGCGTAAGTTAAATGATCCAAAGCGATCCAATCCGAAAGTCGCACAAGAGTTAGAGTTAGAAAGTGAAAGAGCCAAACCAATTTCCCTAAGCCGGCTGACACAGATTTGGCTAGAAAAAGAGTTAAACAAAATTAAAATAACACCCAGCTTTCGGTTTCCAAAAAAAGAGACAAGAAACTCCCAGAGAAATGCAGGCGTTCTGAGATTCTCCACTTTTGATTCGCTTTTTGTTTACCTTTATTTTTTGTCTTCTTGTCGATGCCTCCAAACAAATAGCAACAACCAAAAGCGAGCGCCATTGAAGTGTTGACCTCGTTTATAAACATACAATAATTTTTTCTTTGCCGCGGAAGAGCTTTAAACTTGAATCGAAACTCCGGCGAAGGCAGCGTTGCGTTGCTATTTTCTAAAAAACAGAAAAAAAGAGCCGAAAGAGCGGAGCAACAATATCGCATGTTTGACCAACTTTTTCAGTCTCTCCGCATGGGAAAGTTGGACGTTGCGGCGCGTCGCTCTAATTTCTACGCGCAGTCCGTCGCTGCGCCTGCGCAGACTTCATTTTCCATTTCGTTTGACCTGGATTTCGCTGCGCGGCAAGTGGGTCACACTCTCTCGCTGGCTTGGCTGCTGGAAAAAGCAGTGAAAAATCGGTAAAAGAGCTGTTTCACTTTTGCGACCGAGCCGGAGTGAAATTGTGCGAGTAGAAATTTCTTTTGACATTGAAAAGTTGGCCAAACATTTGTCAGATTTTGTTTGATGGTCGTAAATGGCCAAAGTCTTAAAAGTAACTTTCGGAAAATATTACAAATGGAAACTAGAACTACTAGAAACAGTTTTTAAAAATCAAATTAAATTACTTAATTTAAAAACCTGTTTTTAATATAAACTGAACCCGCCTTGATCTTCTGCAAACCTTCTTCTCAATTAGCGAGCCCACAACTCGACCGACTTTTATCGATCCCTCTCATCTGCACTCCCCTTTGATTTATTCCTAGTGCGAAAAACGTGACCGCAAACGTGCCTGATTTTTTACCTCTCTCGTTGGTGAAATGTGAAAGTTCACCCACATACAAATTTTTCGGTTGCGGCCAAAGGCAGAAATTAAAAATCTAAAAAAAGAGAAAGTGTAACAGGGGAGAGAAGACTGCAGACCGAAGACTGAAGACTGACAGACTGAAGAAACAGAGGCAGCTGAGGCAATGACCCACTTCGAAGGGCAGTAAATTGCAGGGGAAAACGGGAAAAGGGGCAGGGGCACTTCCTGCGTGACAACAGGACAACAGCTGTCCGTTGCACCTGCTCTGCGTGCAGTGAAGTGTGCAATTGATGGGCCCCATAATTTTATGCTCATGCTTGGGCTGAAGTTTAAGTTTAAGCACCGCTTACAAGGCCGAAAACTAACCAGAAATATCCTTTTCCTTTTTTCCCATTGCAGCTGTGCGTTTTGGACGCGTGCCGAAGCGCGAAAAGGCGCGCATCCTGGCGGCCATGCAACAAAGTACCCAGAATCGCGGCCAACAGAGGGCCCTCGCCACCGAGCTGGACGACCAGCCACGCCTCCTCGCCGCCGTGCTGCGCGCCCACCTCGAGACCTGCGAGTTCACCAAGGAGAAGGTCTCGGCGATGCGGCAGCGGGCGCGGGATTGCCCCTCCTACTCCATGCCCACACTTTTGGTGAGTTTTTGTGTTGAATTCTTAAGGATTAAAAGGGAAAATATTTATTAAAACGAAGAGCATAAATAGTAGGGTTTATTTTATGATACTACAGATCTTTAGTAAAAACTTTTATGATGGAACAACATTTATAAAAACGTAGAGACACTAATCAAAAATTAAAATATTTATTAAAACAAAGAACTTTTGTAATTTCTAAAATCGTAGTGAAAATAATCAGAGCAAAGTAAGATTTATTTTATGTCACCACAGATCTTTACTGAACTGATTTAGCATTGAGTTAGTACACCATTTACAGAAGTATCATAAATAACCATTGGCCATAAAGTTATGAAAATGCCAGCAGCCCTACGCGTCTATCAGTACATTATTAATAGCCCGCCAAAGGTTACGGCGTAGGCGAAGTCACATTTCCGGGCCGCCGACTTCTGTTGACATGCATAGATCGGCAGCAACTAGTCGCTAGTTACTAGTGACTGCTCACTGGTGACTGCCTACTGCCGGCGTTAGTCATGCGCCAAGGTGAACCTGTTTGCACGATTCTAAACCAGGAAATCGCTGGCCACACGTAGACGCGTCTACGAGCCGAAGAGTCGACTCTTTCGGCTCGATTCTTGCGGGGCCTCCAAACGTGGCCATTGAAGTGGCAAGTTTGGGGTCAAGTTCTTGACGAAAAGCTTGTCAATGTCAGATTTATGACAGTCGGTTTCCCCTGACAGCCGCATGATGAATGCTAGCTATAGTTTGTAAATACCATTTTCTGTTTACTTTACAACCGACGTCACTGGGGTTTTATTTTTGGGGTCAGAGAAAATGGATCGAGCATAGAGGAAGTAAAAAGATTCGGCGCTGAAATAAAATACGCCGATGAACCATTTGTTGTACCGCAAACCGAAAGCGATAAAGAAAAGTGCCTCATACACATACAGATATATATTAAAAAAAAAAAAAACGTGTCCCGGCTCTCGGCAACAACAAAGTACACAAACAAAGTTCTAAAGCTCAAGGTCAAGCGTAGCGTCATTATTAATGAAAGCACATAGCTGGCTATCGCGGGGGGGAGCGAGAGGGACAGAGCACAGGATTAGAGAGAGACGGCGAGCCAGACACATGCGTTGCCCATTTAAATAAATTATTATTAAAATATTTAAAAGCGACACGAGCAGGCAAAAAAATGTGAAAAAACAGCGGGACAAAGTCAGAGTCAAGTGCAAGGCTAAAAAAGTTAAAATTTGATTTGGTGATTTGCTGATATTCAAGAAGAAAGAAATCAAATGCGATCGACAGTTCAAGAAGTGCTATATAACACACACACACTAAAAACGGTAGAGAACGACCTTGGGGCGAGTTATTTTTTAACCTTGGAGTGAATGAAATGAACGCGAGTCCGCCTTCCTCTCTTTCTCTGTTTGCAGTTGATATTTCCACTATATATGAGTAAACAATAATGGCACTAAAAAATATGCATAAAATGTCATGAGTATGAGGAAGCGAATGCCAGACAAACGGCGTCACAAAAATGCAATATACACATGTATATTAGAGATACATATAGAGATATATGGGCGGTCGAGAGCAATCTGTAAAATTGTCAGGTGGTTCATTAGGAAGCGTCGTAATATTCCGCTTATGACGGAAGGCGGAAGATTCGCCGGCGGTGCAAGGTGAGGTTAAGTCGCAGCGATCTCGGCGAGAATTCGGAATTCGGACTAGAAATAGAACGAATTCCTCTAGCCAAACGATTAGCCCTAGAGATTATTCAATCTGGCAGTCCATATCAGCCGGTACAAGAGTTCTGGGAATTATTTTTGGCGAAAACACATTGTGAAGGTCGTTTCGGATCGAATCGGATGGGTTGGGTTGGGATCTTGTGATATGTCGGGGAAATCGGGGAGCTTTGCCCAGTCGTCATAAATAGCCCCCACCGCCGCCATCGTTAGTATTTTCGCAAACTATTTCCGCTTTTGCGCCAATGAGAAATATATTTTCGTGGCGAAAAATCAAATGATACGACGACGTCAAAGCGCCGGCGAAAAGAAAATGCGGGGGAAATTCTGCTTGCCGGTTGCCGGTTGCCTCTTCTCTTTCCTCTTTTATGCGAGCCAATTTCATTCTATTGTATCTGCGAGTATGAGTATATCTTTTTTCGCACAAAGAAAAAACATTTTCAAGGTTAATCAGGCGAAAATCGAAAGAGAAAAAGAAGCGGCGGCGGCGGCAGACAGCACAACGTGTGCTTATTGAAACAGAACGAAATAAATAAAAAAGCGAGAAGCATACACATGAAATCAAACGTAAATTCAAAATCAAGTAGCTGAGAACAATGGTGGGTAGTCTATGGGGTGGGATGGGCGGCCGAAGGGGGTGGTGGCACGTTCGCTGTCTGGGGCACTTGGCGCATGTTCATGTAACTCAAAACCCGGAAAGCCAAATGGCGAAATAACATGAACATTTATTCCCCTTTTCCATTCCTCTGGCGAAATGAAACGAAAAAAAACACGCGCCGAAAGCAGGAAAAAGAAAAACAACTATAGTAACAGCACACAATCCGGAACCTTGAACTCTAGTTCGTCGACCTTGGCTGCTAATGTCAGCGCAGCAAAAGCTCTCAACTAAACTACACTAGGGGTTGTGGGTGGGGAGGGGGCTGAAAAGCAGCCCCTAGAAACTAATAGCAGAAAAACTAACAGAACAACAGAACAGCCAGCTGACGTAGGCGAAGCTTTTCCTTTTTCCACTTTGTAGCAAAAGCTTCCAGCGGTGTTTAAGGAAATGCGACATTCGTAGAAAGAGACGGCAGATAGCTGGCGTGGTGGGCGTGCGGAAGTACAAATAGTTATTATTATTGATTTAAATGAGTGGGGGGTGAAATAGAAGGGGATGGGGGAGGTTCGCTGACCTTCGCGTGTGAAATAAGCGATGACGTGATGGGGTGCGGTGGGGAAAACTACAGCGACTGGCCAAGCAACAGTTATGGGAAAAGTTGGTTTTATCTACACAAAAAAAAGAAAATCAAATGTATTAACTCTCTATATACTAGATTAAGTATAAAAAAGTGGTATTGATCTAATATTAAATAATTCAATAGTTATATACCAAAAGTTTTAATTTAATACTTTTGATAGTATTCATTTAATACTCATCTTATTGATGCAAATTTGACACTCAATGGTGTAGAAATTCATGTAACAATAGTTTCGTTTCTATGACTATTTTTGTTGTGGTTGTAGAGACTTCATACCAGGGGTGCATTGGGCACACGCCGATTCTTTAGACCATCTCTAACCCGTCACCTCTTTTTCTTCCCCTCTTTGCAGGCCTGTCCGCTGAACCCCGCCCCTGAGCTGCAGTCGGAGCAGGAGTTCTCACAGCGTTTCGCCCACGTAATCCGCGGCGTGATCGACTTTGCCGGCATGATTCCCGGCTTCCAGCTGCTCACCCAGGACGACAAGTTCACGCTCCTGAAGGCGGGACTCTTCGATGCGCTGTTCGTGCGCCTGATCTGCATGTTTGACTCCTCGATAAACTCGATCATCTGCCTGAATGGCCAGGTGATGCGACGGGATGCGATCCAGAATGGAGCCAACGCCCGCTTCCTGGTGGACTCCACCTTCAATTTCGCGGAGCGCATGAACTCGATGAACCTGACAGACGCCGAGATCGGCCTGTTTTGCGCCATCGTTCTAATTACCCCCGATCGGCCGGGTCTGCGCAACCTGGAGCTGATCGAGAAGATGTACTCGCGGCTCAAGGGCTGCCTGCAGTACATTGTGGCCCAGAACAGGCCCGATCAGCCCGAGTTCCTGGCCAAGTTGCTGGAGACAATGCCCGATCTGCGCACCCTGAGCACCCTGCACACCGAGAAGCTGGTGGTCTTCCGCACCGAGCACAAGGAGCTGCTGCGCCAGCAGATGTGGTCCATGGAGGATGGTAACAATGGCAGCGACAAGTCGCCCACCGGCAGCTGGGCCGATGCCATGGACGTGGAGGCGGCCAAGAGTCCGCTGGGCTCGGTCTCCAGTTCGGAATCTGCGGATCTGGACTACGGCAGTCCGAGCAGTTCGCAGCCACAGGGCGTGCCCTCCTCTTCGCCCCCTCAGCAGCAGCAGCAGCAACAGCCGTCTGCCTTGGCCAGTTCTGCTCCCCTGCTGGCCGCCACCCTCTCCGGCGGCTGTCCGCTGAGGAATCGGGCCAATTCCGGCTCCAGCGGCGACTCCGGAGCAGCCGACATGGACATTGTTGGCTCGCACGCGCATCTCACCCAGAACGGGCTGACAATCACGCCGATCGTAAGACACCACCAGCAGCAGCAACAGCAGCAGCAGCAGCAGCAACATCCGCTGTGCCACCAGCAGCAGCATCCCCAGTTGCACCACCACCTGACCGCCGGAGCGGCACGCTACAGGAAACTGGATTCGCCCACGGATTCGGGCATCGAGTCGGGCAACGAGAAGAACGAGTGCAAGGCCGTCAGTTCGGGAGGCTCTAGCTCGTGCTCCAGTCCGCGTTCCAGCGTGGACGACGCTCTGGATTGCAGTGATGCCGCCGCCGCCAATCAGGTGGTGTCCCAGGTGGTGCAGCATCCCCAGCTGAGTGTGGTGGCCGTTTCGCCCGTCCGCTCGCCGCAGCCCTCGAGCAGCGGTCATCTCAAGCGGCAGATTGTCGAGGACATGCCCGTGCTGAAGCGCGTGCTGCAGGCTCCGCCGCTGTACGACACCAACTCGCTGATGGACGAGGCCTACAAGCCGCACAAGAAGTTCCGGGCGCTGCGCCATCGGGAATTCGAGACCGCCGAGGCGGATGCCAGCAGTTCCACCTCCACCGGATCGAACAGCCTGAGTGCCGGCAGTCCGCGGCAGAGCCCGGTGCCGAATAGTGTGGCCACGCCGCCGCCACCTTCCCTCGGTAATCCCGCCCAGAGCCAGCTGCACATGCACCTGACCCGCGCCAGTCCCAAGGCCTCGATGGCCAGCTCGCACTCGGTGCTGGCCAAGTCGCTGATGGCCGAGCCGCGGATGACGCCCGAGCAGATGAAGCGCAGCGACATCATCCAGAACTACTTGAAGCGCGAGAACAGCACGGCGGCCACGGCCAGCAGCACCACCAACGGATTGGGAATGGGACTGGGTAACCGCAGTCCCAGCAGCAGCTCCACGCCACCGCCGCCGCAGCAGCAGCAGCGGTGGGGCAGCAGCTCGGTGATCACCACCACCTGCCAGCAGCGCCAGCAGTCCGTTTCGCCGCACAGCAATGGCTCGAGCTCTAGTTCGTCCTCCAGTTCGTCCTCCAGTTCGTCCTCCACCTCCTCCACCACGTCCACCTCCTCCAACTGCAGCAGCAGCAGCAGTTCGGCCGGCAGCTGCCCGTACTTCCAGTCGCCGCACTCGACGAGCAACGGAAGTGGAAGCGTGGCTCCAGCCAGCTCCAGCGGCACCCCGGCCCTCCTCGAACTCCAGGTGGACATTGCCGATTCGGCGCAGCCGCTCAATCTGTCCAAGAAGTCGCCCACGCCGCCGCCCAGCAAGCTGCACGCTTTGGTGGCCGCCGCCAATGCCGTTCAGCGGTATCCCACCCTCTCGGCCGACGTCACGGTGACCGCCTCGAATGGCAACGGTCCGCCGTCGGCGGCGGCCAGTCCGGCGCCCAGCAGCAGTCCGCCAGTGGGAGTGGGATCCCCCAATCCCCCGGGACTGAGCAGCGCCGTGCACACGGTCAAGATGGAGGCGTAAGCGGGGGAGGGAGGCGCATGGAGAGACAGAGACTGGGAGTGGCAGTTCAGCGAAGGAAGCAGGATCGACAGGGATCGCCAGGAGTTGAATTAAATTATTTTACCTTTTAATTGAGCCGTGTACAAAGTTTCAACGCAAAACCAACATGCATGCAATTTAAAAACTAATATTTAAAGCAACAACAAACAAAAGAACTACAAGTTATTAATTTAAAGCAAACAAATGAGAAAGAAAAAAACAAAAAACCCAAGCTTGAATGGTATTACAGAAGAAAGAGAAAAATGGAAAAAACAAAAAACATAAATATATTTTAGCAGTTAAACTTTAACGTAGCGAGAAACCAACAAAAACAAGGCAGCGCTCTGATTTTGCATTGACTTTTCTTCAGCTGCTACCCCCTTACACCCCTTACAACCCCCCTCGTCTATCGACCCCTGATTGTTTTATAAGTTTTAAGCTCTTGTTGTACATATTAATTACGTTTATGAGTAACTATTTTTAGCTCTTTAGTTGTAGGTGGAGCAAAACTACTTTGCTTTTTTTGATGTTTTTTGAAAAAACTGCAAATTATTATTATTACATTTTTAAATACCGAAAAAAAAACAAACAAAAACAATGTGTGTGAAATTTTTTATTGTGCGATCTCCGAGCAGAATTGAAGTGCAGTTTGCAACAAATTTTAACTACGATTAAGTTGATAACGATTCATTTTTTATGAATTTAACTAATTTTATGAATTTGTTATAGTTTTCCACCCTTCCTCTATCGACCCCTCTATCTGTCTGTCTTTCTAGCTATCCGTATTCCCGATTTCTCCTTTGGCACAAAGCCCCTTTCTATGCTAAAGAATCAAGTGGAATAAATATTGTTTTCTAATTTTAAAACTACCACAAAAATACAATTAAAATAAACAAGAAATAATGAAAATCAAACAAAATGCTTAAAGTTTTAGCAGCAAGCAGTAAGATGATGACGAAGCAGAGAAACCCAACGTTAAATGTATCTGTTGTGTATATAGTTAAATGTTAAATAAAACACAAAAACATATTTAAAGTACATATAAATACACATAAATATTAATGAAGAAAGATATGCTTAAAAGATTCAATGTTTGATTGGCATCTTAGAAACCAAGCAAAAAATACAAAAAAACAAACAGAAATTATGATATATTATTTAAACGTAACGTATACATTTATATTACAGAAAAACAAAAGAGAAAACTTGCGGTAGCAACAAAACTATTATATTAATTACCTTTTAAATTTGCTGTACTATTATGATTATTAATTATTATGATTAATTACATTACGATTTTTATGCTTAGACAAAACCAACAACAAAAACAAAGATGCAAAAACAACAAAAAAAACAAAAAACAAGCAAAAAGATTACACTGGCGCAGAAATTTGTATTGTCAAATCAATAAAAAATTTGTTTAAAAATTTCAAAAAAAACCTCTTAAGTTTTTTCATTTCAATTTCTTTTTTTCAGTTTTACATTTATTTCAGTTTTACATTATTTTGGAGTGGTAAGATTTTAAATTTCAGTTGGCTTAATTTTCATTTCGACTACCGTGCTGTAAAAAATATTTAACAAATTATATCTAAAGTATTTATATCAGAATTAAATCAACAACAATTTTATGTGTATAAATCAGCCACGAGGGAAATGTGCAAAAACAAAGAAACCCTCAACGTTGGCGGAAAAAATCCAAAGAGGAGGAGAAGTCTACAAGAAATATTATATTCTTTTAAAATTTATGCAGCGTAAGGAAGCGTTGGTTCCACCAAAAACCACGAAAATTAACAAAGATATCACACTTCAATATTTGACTCTATATATACACACAAACATATGTACGTAGATGAAACGATTTTGGTGTCTGTGTGTATGTATGTCCGTAACTTTTAGCCAGAAAAACAACAACAAAACATTGTAATTGTGTAACTAAAAGTGAATATTTTATGTAAAAACTATCTCAGCATTGAGCGATGGTGGAGATGGGTGTTTATGGTGGTCAAGACGATGATGATGATGATGAAGATGATAATGGTGATGGATACTGATAGGAATATCCAACCGAACGACGGCAGCGACAACTGAAACAATGAAATTGCGACAATTAAGCGTAACGTAACGTAAAAGTATATGTAAAACGTATCCGTAAACAGCCGTAAGAGTTAAACGTAACGTAATAGCAACTAAAAACATTGAAAGGAATAATGCAACTTTGAGGCGACTCCAGCTGAGGCATATGAAATACCGTATAAATAATATCTATTAATATATATGTACACATGAATATATTTTCAAGGACAGTCACAAATCAAATTGCGGCAAAAAAGAGTTTTTAAACATGATAATTTGGCAAAAAATGGAAAAAAAAAGTGTGAAAAATGAGACAGCGAGAAAAATGCAAACAAGCTAAGAAATGTTCTGAAAATTGATTAAATCTCCATAAAAATATAAAATTAACAGCAAAAATTTGTATTTGTGAAATAACATAATATTACAGTTTGTTTTAAATGGAAACACAATGAAAAACCCCCCAGAATGGAATATGTGAATAAAATATTGAAAATAAGTATTTAAAATATATCAACAAAAATTATGAAAAAGATATCGTATGTGTTTTTATTACAATTTGGTAATTTGGTAATGGGGTTGCAGAAGCGTAAGTTAAAAGATACATTCGTTGAGTGGAATTTCGTCATAATCGGAATAATACTCATATGTATGTGGTATAAGTAATATGCATGATTCATCCTAGAAATAAAACAAAAATAATGCTCTCCTTGGAAATTATTTTTTTTTTGGAAATTTAATTAAATAAAATTAATGTTCTGATTAGGTATTTCTTTAGAACACTCTCAAAAATTCCGCTTATTATTCCCCATAAAATACTTTTTAACCTTGTAGAATAGATGGAAACTGATGACACTGCTTGGCTACCCTGTGAAACAATAATATTCCGAAACCCATTAGAGACAATAAGATTATGGCATAAACGTTCACAACAATGTCACCCATTCTTTATAACCCCTGGAAACACTCATCGATTTTGGCCATCCCCTTCAGGCGATCGTTCACCACTACACTCACCGGCGCCCAAAGCTTATCACGCACATATACGAATATTTTTTGCGGCTGCCGAGAATAGCGATTATTTTCAATGTCGCGCCTGTCTGTCCTAAGCTTTTGTTGGTATTTGGCGCTTGTGTGTGTTTTGGAATTTTGCCCGTGACCTTGAGGCGATAAGAGTCGCGAAATGAATTTGCCGAAATAATCAAATCAGCGTTGTTGTTATGGAAAGGGGTGCCAAGGGGGTGGCCCTGCTGGGCAAAGCGTCTGGGCAGCGTGAGTGCCGCGTGTAGATAACAGTATTCGATGCCAGCGATAGGCAGACACTCATCCCAACACCCGCCCACCATCCACCACCCCAAAACACCGATAAGACCAGCTAAAATGTATGAGTATATTCTAATTTTAAGCATGGGAGAGAGGGAGACACTTGAGCACACACAGACATATACTTCGTTATCTTCAAAGTCAATGTCAAAGCCAACTGAAAGGAGGCTGAAAAGGGGGCGGCAGCGAGACAGAGGCGGAATTAGAATCAGAACAAAAAAAAAGAAAGCTGAAAGAGCGCAACAAATTAACTTAGTGTGGGCACGGTGGCGTATGAGTAACGAGTGACAGACGACAAGTGACAAGCAGGAAATGCAGCACTACACTGCATTTCTGGGGATGGTGGTCGGTAGGGTAGTTTCTGGGGAAAGATAGTCAGTCAATCAATGGGTGCTTATTCTCTTCACTGATCGGGCAATCGAATTGTTGATATTTTCTGTTGGTTGCATTTTCTGGGTAAAAAGTTTATTAGGCTATGTAAATGGTGAAATTTGTTTAAACAACGAACAAAATTTTAAAATACATATTTAAAATAAAAAAAATATTCTTAAGACTACAAATATAAATAAAAAAATGGGATTACAATTTTAAAAAGCTCTTAAAGTTAGTCATTAGGTATAAAATATATTTTGTTTTAGAAAATGTATATTTAAGATAGGAATCCTATTAATTTACTTTACAAAGTATGATCAACCAGAAGTACAGGATATATTAAATTCGATGCCCTTTAATAATACTCATCCACCTTCTGCCTGATATTTTGGCAATTTTCTTTCGATATTTTTTTCGGCAAATTTTTATTTGCGCATATTTCACCTTGAAATAAAACAAGCCTCAAATAAATTAAGGCACAAACAACAACGGCAAAAACAACTCGCGCGTAGAAGAAGCAGCGGCAGAGAGCAAATTCCAACGACGGAAAAAAAAAGAATAAAACGAGAATAAATACACCCGCGGGATGGTGGAGGGGAATAAAACAAATATTCAAGGTTAGCTGATTAGACGAAATTAGCAAAGTTCTAGCAGATGATTGAATGGGGGAAAGGGATGACGGCTCAGAGGGGGCAGGGGCGGAGGGCAACGCTTGATGAGAGCACGCGCTGAAATAAAAAACTCACGCAACGCGTTTGGCCAGTGCGTGTAGGGAGCTCCGCCCCCTTCAGCCCCCGCCCTCCTACCACCTTTTTCACGACTCCCCCTCTTCGACGAACTGCACGCGTGCGTACGCATGTGATTGCTAGCCCCCTCTGACTCTCTCTCTCTCACAACACCCATCCAACCATCCATCCCTCTCCTTCTATATATCACTCCATATAACCATTGTCGTCAGCGTAGGCCTTTGGTTTTAGGCATTTTTCGGCTATTATTACTTTACTGTGGGGTATATACGGTCATAAGTAAGGTTACTTTACTTATGTCAACCAAATTGAGATATTTCTTTAAAAACAAAATTTATTTTAAATTTCTTCAAGAAAAATATTTTTTGGTTCAAAAACGAACGGATTTTACTTTCGGATGAATTTTTAAAATCTTCATTTTGTCAGTTTGAAAAATATGTGTTATAAAAATATTTAATATCAATTAAAAAAATTATTTTAGTCAAGTAATGTTGAGATTGTTTTAGGGTATTTTAGGGTTCATTCTCCTAACCCAAGTCTACGCACTTTTATTTGCTTTTCGCCTTTTTTTGGCGCTAAGCCTTTGCTGATA